TTCAGCTCCCCTTCGAACCAGGTAGCGATGTCGGTAGTGGAGCCGATGTAGAGCAGGTCGTCGACGTAGACGATGAGTAGGACGTACTCTCTTCCCTTCTGCAGTCGGTACATCCCTTGGTCATGCGGCAGTTGTAGGAATCCGATTTTTGCGAGACGGCCGTGAAGGTGTTGCTGCCAGAGCCGCGGGGCTTGCTTGATCCCGTATAGGGATTTTGTCAGTCGGCATACTTTCGTGGGGTCGTCGATGAATCCGTGGGGTTGTTCGACGAAAATCTCAGCGTCCACAGGTGCGTATAGGAACGCATTGGCGACGTCGATTTGGCGTAGTGGTAGTGTCTTCGTGGCCGCGACGGCGAGTAGGATGCGTAATGAGGTGTGACGGGAGACTGGAGCGAAGGTTTCTGTGTAGTCAGTTCCGTATCGTTGATCGAAGCCTCGTACGACCCATCGAGCTTTGAATCGTTCGATGGAGCCGTCTGAGTTGGTCTTGATGCGGTACACCCATTTCCCCAAGAGGACGTTCTTCCCGTTGATGCTTGTTGCAGGTACCATTTTCCATGTTTCTCGGTCTTGCAGAGCCTTTAACTCCTTTTCCATCGCTTCTTTCCATTTTGCCTTATGTTCCCCCCCCAGAGCCTGCGACAAGGTCGAGGGCTCACGCGGAGAAGGCGGCGGCGGATGCTGGACGGAGACCCAGAGGCCTAGAATCTGCAGTCCCGTGGGTGTGTGTCGAGGGGAATTTTCATTCCCGGAATAAGCTGCTTCGTCACCGTCTTCTGGGTCAGGTAAGAAGTTGGGACCGATGCGTTCTGAAACATTTGTGTCGACTGGGTGGGGTGTAATGTAACCTTGGTCAGCGAAGTGGTAAAAGGTGTCGAGGTTGTTGCTATCGAGAGGATTGTCTTCGTCGAGTGGAACAGGGACGGAACAGAATGGGAGTGGTCCGGCAGCTTCCGAGGCTTCAGGTACGTCTTCTTCTGCTGCGTCAGCTTCGGCAGCACGGTCGGCGAAGGAACGAAGTCCCGAGAAGCCGTCGGTGGGGTCTTGTGTGTTGGCAATGTTGTCCAGGTAATGCTGCAGCGTCAGTCGTTCGTAGAAGATCACATCACGTGATGCCACGGTATTTTTGTCTTGTATGTCGAGAATTTTCCACGCGTGAAAATGTTTTGCGATGCCGAGGTGTAGTCCCCACCGAGCTCGTTGTGTGAAGCGTCCTGCTCGGGCTGTGTGGGGTCTGTACTGTACCATGCAGCCGAAAACTCGGAGTAATTTTGTGCTGCCCCTTTTTCTTGTCCACAACAGGTGCGGTGATGCGTTGTTGGGAAGTGATGACGAGGACAGCAGGTTGTGCAGGTGAACGGCATGTGTCATCGCGTCTGGCCACAGTGTGGTGGGCAGCCTCATCCCCAGCAGTAGTTTTCGCATCGTCGTCTGCAAGGTCCGGTTCATGCGTTCTGCTACCCCCTGTTGCTGGTGAGCATAGGGCAGAGACACCAGGCGTCGGATTCCTCTTTCCGCCAGATAGGTCCTGAAGCGTTGTGACTGGTATTCCAGTGCACCGTCTGACTGGAAGCTCTTGAGCTTGGTTCCTGATTCTCGTTCGGCGATGGGAAGCCATGTGGTGAAGGCCTCGAAGGCTTGATCGCGCGTTTTGAGATTAAAGTGCCAAACGTATCTGGTTGCTGCGTCGATGAACGTGATGACGTAGTTGAAGTCGGCTTCGGTGTCTTCTCGAGGCATGTTTAAAATGTCGCTGTAGACCTTTTCCATCGGAGCGTAAGTAGGTGCGCTTGGGTTGTGATGAGATGGGAAAGGTTGATGAGGAAGATCTGCTTCGGGGCACGTGAAGCATCGTGCTCGTGGTCGTCGAAGTTCTTGGCCGCTCGTCGTTAGAAGGGCGTTGCGTTCTAACACCTCTGCTTGGATTGTTTGTAGTATCGTGCTGTTTGCAGGATGTCCGAGACGTTGGTGCCAGATGTCGTCGGAAGCGCGATGACCGGGCGAGCGATGGTAGATGTCGGCGTTGGAGAAGAACGCGACGACTGAGGCGGGACTTCGACAAACTTCTCGTGTGATGGGCATAAGCTGGTCTGCTTCGGTTGGCGGTCCTCGGGTCGCTGGTGGTGGGACTCGGCTGGGTCCTGCTGCCGATACTGCAGGTGATGGTTTGGTTGGGATACTTGCGGGTACTTGTCTTTCTTGTCTGATAACTGCTAATGCTCGTGTTCTCTCTGCTGCAGGTATGGTGTTGGAGTGCCAGAAGCCGTCACTGTCGAAGTCGGGATCAAGATCCGGCGGGTGAGTCCAGGCGGCGAATGATACGATACCGTCGCTATCGGCAGTACCGCGGTCGGGGACGAAGTCCAACACGAAGACGCCGGACTTCAGGAGGGCACGACCGATGAAGAGGCCGCCCTTCCCGTGGTAAAGCCGGAACTCGTTGGAGAAGGAGTCGCACTCCAGGTGAATCCCCTTAGCCATTAGTTGGCTTACGCTTAGTAGGTTGTATCCCAGATTGTCGACGATGAGGACCTTGTTGAGCTGAAGAATAACGTTTGTCTCCATTGATTGTAACTGAACCACGCCTTGTCTGTTTGTTTTCAGGTTTTCGTTGTTGGCGACGGTGATGACGACGTCGCGGTTGAGGCGTCGCTCGTGTTGTACGAAGCGTCCGGAGGAGCACATGTGCTGACCGCAGCAACTGTCCAAGAACCAGGTGTTCCGCCCGGTGGGTTCGGCGTTGGCGACTGCAGCGTATGTCGGGTTGACCTGAAGTCCTTGTGAGCGCGGCGGCGGGAATTCCTCTTCGTCTGGTGCGTAAGTGGGTGGTGATCCGGGTGCGCAGTTGTCGATGTGTACCATGCAGTTAATAATATTTGATGTTTGTTGTGCAGATGTTGAAGAGCGCCTTGGGGGACTTGCTTGGGTTGAGGCGACTTGTGGGTCTGCTGGACGGTAAACGCGAGGGCGGTTGCAGTTGACCTTGGAGTGCCCGGAAGTCTGACAGTTGTGGCAGAACGGCGGCACGAAGGTAGTCCCTCTGTTGTCGTGCTCTTGCTTGCCGCGTCGGTTGTGGTTGTTGTCATTTCTTCGTTGAGTGTAGAAGACTAACTGCTGTTGCTTCCTTGGTTGTCTTTCCTCGAACAGATCCATCTCCTGTTGTTCAGCATGGAGCTCGGCGCAGAGGTGCATCTCCGAAATTCTTCCGTGGGCGCGAAGAAGTGATCGTGTGGTTCTCCATTCTGGCCCGAGCCCGGCGAGGACAAGTGTCACGAAGCTTTCTTCAGTGATTGTTCCTCCGCACCGAAGCAGGCGGTCGCGGAGAGTCTGGCAGCGACTCATATATTGCATTGCCTTTTCCCCGGTCTTCATCTGTATTGTTGTCAGTTGTTGCATGAGTCTGCTTTGCGTCACGCTGTCGTTTGCTTGATAAAGGCACTTGAGATGATGCCATGCGAGTTCCGCGGAGTTCCCATAGCTCCGATATGTTCTGATGCTCTGCTGCTCTTGTGGTGACAGGTTCCGCAGGAGGACTGTATACGCCAGTAGCGACTGATACGTGAAGATCTCTTGTTCCTTTCCAGTGCCGTTGCTTGGGAATGGCAGGGACCCGTTGAAGTATCCCAGAAGATGCGCGGCCTCCATCAGCAGCTCGAACTCGAAGCTCCAGGTAAAGAAGTCGTGTCCGTTGAACGGTGAGGATGTTTGTAACTTGATGACGTGTGAGAATTGAGCCTGAAGACTGAGAATCTCGTTTGGTGTTTGTTGTGATGCAGCTGCTGTTGGTTGGGCGCGGGGCGGCATGAACTCGAACGTCCCCGGTGAAGAATGATACGGCGCAAAGGTAGGCGCTTGGTTGTGTCGCCCGAAGGATGAGTTGTCGAGGCTCATCGGCGCTAATCCCATGTTTCCTCCATTGCTCTGTGTTGAATGCGCAGGTGTTCTTGTCTGCTGCTGCTGGTCGAAGTGCGACATGAAGCTGAAGAACCTTTCCATAAGGTTGGGGTCCACGCTTGAAGAGGGAGATGGAGTAACCATCTCTGGTACTCTTCCCGTTGTTTCTTGAGCAGTCCCGGTCTCTGTCTGCAGTCCTGAGGTGTGCAGACCAGAGTTGCCGTGTTGAGTTTCTTGGCCGCTGGGTGAGCCCGTAGAGGCTTTCTTGCCCTTGCTGTCCATGTCTTGCAATCAATGAAGTCGTTGAATTGAGTTCAGTTGCAGGTTGGTGATAGAACGTAGTTGCTGGGAGTTTGGTCTCTGACCAGCTCTCATACCATGTTGGGCTGAGAAAAGCCCTTGGGATCTTTCCAGAGACTAAGTCCCAGCTGTAGAGACTTTGAGACTTTGAGTAGTGCAGCGGAAGTTGAGGCAGTTGAACCCTTGTACTAGTATGTGAGAACAAGTGATTGATTAAAGAAACAAGCATACAGCAATATATAGAAGATAAGAAAGCAGTTGTAGAATACAGTTACAGGAACGGTTTATCGAGTCGCACAGCGACTCGACTGCCGCTTCGGTTACCATCCGTGATGTTGTAACGGTCAGTCGCAACCTCCAGTTGCGACCTTTCGAGTCTTTTCGCATTCTTTGTCCGTCCCCTCATGTAACCTCCGTTGACTCGCGTGCTCCCTTGTAGTCTTCCTCGAGTGCAGTGTTACACTTCAGAAACGCTCAAGTCCTTTGAGATATTTCCAACAGAACTGAAAGGTCTGGAACCCTGGCGATGGTTCGGGACTGTTCGAGTCGTACGCCCTGTAGCAAGCCTCAGAAAGGAATTAATAATTCCTTACACAAAGTGCATGGAGTAACCATCCTAAGGCATTCTAGAATTGTTAACAAAAATGCTTGGCACCTTGTAACTTGGGACCTGGGCTTTAAGGATTCACTTCATACACGTCCTAAATTCGTGGACTGTACGTTTTCCGTCGTGTAGATGAACCATTCTCTTGCTTCGTTGCAAATCGAGGAGGCTGCCATCGCCAGCACACCTAGTCCCCAGACGCTCTTCCAGGAGGCGCACTTGCCTTGACTTCCCCCGGCTCGCCGCAGCGACCTCTCGCATCGCCTGCACCGTCCCCATCCAAATTCGTATCTTGAGACGTCTTTTCTCAAAACGCCCGCTCGCCTCGTCTATCTGTCCGCACGCACCATCCGAGCCGCCATGCAAGTTAGCGCGCGTTGCGGTGCAGTGCGGCTCACATCCCGCCACGTGGAACAATTCGCATGCCGCCACGTGGAGCGGACGCCCGTCTCGCTTTCATGGAGCCCGACGACGAGCCGGAACTTTAGAAGCATTCGGTATAGAAGCACGCGCTCTAGTAGCACTCGCGCTAGTAGCACCCGCTCTAGTAGAAGGTGTCACTCGTCTGCACTCGTTCCTGCGCAGCTATTCAACTTCAGGCAATTCCCTGGCCGTCTCCACCCCATTGCCGTCATCCCACTCACCGCCGTCGATCTCGCGTCTCGAAGAGGGACTTACAGAAGCGCCGCTATGGCCTCCGCCGCCATGCATGCCGCCGCCGTCGCGTGCATCTACTCTTCTTCCATCTCCCTCCCTCTCTCGCCGCCACATCCCGTCCGTCCCGCCCGTCGTTATTCCGCGCCTCCTCTCCGTGCCACCTGGCGGGGCATGGCTGGCGATATCGCCGCAATCGCCGCCGCTGAAGGCGCTGCCACTGCTTCAGGCGCAACGGCTGCCTCGCTCCCGCCCCCCTCATCCTCCCCTTCATCCCCCCACTCATCCTCCCCCTCGTCCTCCGCCGACGCTTCCGCCTCTTCCGCCGACCCCGCTTCCCCTCCCCACCATACTAGCAAGCGGCAGTACGAAATCGGCGCGCTGCAGCAGCTGCCTGCCGTGTCTCCTGCTGCTGAAATCATCGGGACTGCACTGAGGCGCGCCAAGCACGTGCGCGCCAGCAAAGGTGAGCAAAGGGGTGAATTTGGGAGCAAAGGGGAGCAAAGGCAACTTTCAAAACACTGAAGTACGAAGTCAGGGGTGGTTAAGCCCATGTCGCCCGCTGCTGAAATCGTTGGGACTGCGCTGAGCGAGGAAAGCAGAGGGGAGCAAAGGTGAGGGATAGAGACTGGTAGTTGGTGCTTGCTCCCTATCCCGTTCACTCCGTATTTTGCACTTAAACTCCCACAAACCCACAAACCCCCAAACCCCCAAACCCCCTTACCCATTCCCCCATCCCGTTCCTCCTCTCCCCCCCCCATTCCTCTTCTCCTCCCCTCCCTCCCCCCCCGTCCCTCCCACCCCCTTCAAACACGCACAACCACCCATTCTTTCAGCATAAAACCTGACTAGAAACCTTAAACCCAAAACCTTCGGGTTCATGGTGCATGCTTTATGGTGGTCTCGTTTCCTATTTCTCATGGTGGGTGCATTGTGTGTGCGTGCATGGTGCGTGCATGGTGCGTGCATGGTGCGTGCATGGTGCGTGCATGGTGCGTGCATGGTGCGTGCATGGTGCGTGCATGGTGTGTGCATGGTGCGTGCATGGTGTGTGCATGGTGCGTGCATGGTGCGTGCATGGTGCGTGCATGGTGCGTGCATGGTGCGTGCAGGCATCATGAATGCGGTGAAGCGAGAGAGGAGCAAAGGAGCTCAACAGCTGGACTGCCTCACCAAGGCATGTACGACGTGTATTGTTGTATGGTATGTATGTCACATATGGCATGTGTGGCATTCGTGGCATGCGTGGCATGTGTGGCATGCGTGGCATGCGTGGCATAAGTGGCATGCGTGGCATGTGTGGTGTACGTTCTCCTCTCTCCCTCGTATAATCTCCTCTACATGCGTCATCTCCCCGCCTGCCCCATGCGATTTTCTACCTTCGGTTTCCTTTCTTCTCTGATGTTTGCGACTCTGCCCCAGGTAAAAAAAAACGGCGTTTTTGGACCGTTGCTATGGTACCGTGTTTTTCGGCCGTTTAAAACGATATAACACAATCCCTAATGTTTCCTTTTTTTTGGTGGAAAAAAGCGGTCGTTTTAAACGGCCGTTTATTTCATACGTACATGTATTTGTCGAATTGATGAATTCGTTACAGATTTCGACGGTTGGGTGTACACCCAACCCATCGAAATCGGATCGGTCAACACTTTCCCGAGGCGCGCCCTCGACATTTTCCCGAGCCGCACATTTTGTTTTTTCGCCAAACCCGTTGCGAAACTGACAAGGGCTTCACAACGGGTTGGCGTTTCATTTCGCGTCCAGTTAGACATGGGCACAAGCCGAGCCACATCCGACTCGGCTCGGCTCGGCTCGCCGAAAATGACGAGCCGAGCCTTTCTTTTCGGGATCCGGCTCGACTCGAGCCGAGCCGGCTCGACTCGGCTCGTACACAATGTCCTCGTCGAGCCGGGGTCGAGCCGGCTCGTCCCCGGCTTGATTTCGAGCCAGGTGGCTCGCCACTCGATTTCAAGGGTAAAATTTTCCCCTCGACAAAACGTGTCTCCCATTTCTCTCTCCCGCCAACAACTCCTAGTCTATGTTCCCGCAATCGCTTTGGCGGTGCAGCGTTTATCGTTTAAACGCTGCATTTAAAGGGTAAACGCTAAACGCCCGCCCAAAATGTTTGACGCGAAATTCTTTCCCGCGACATTGCGACCTCCAGAATTCAACCAGTCGCAACCCCAAACTTTGACGACCAAAAACACATCCAACCCAGTGCACACTTTTGCATCTACAACTTCCAACCTAACCTCTTACACCCTCCTTCCTCCTCACAATCCACTTCCCGTCAATTCCGCGATCCCTAGAATTCTGCGTGCCTAGGAGTATCTCATTAGGTTAGTTCGCGCGAGAAATATTAAGCAGCCCGTGCCACTCTTAACAACACGCGCTTGCATAGGCTCCACCCACACTACTGTTGGCTTAAAGCCCGACCAGCAGGTTGCAACTCTCTTTTCTCAAGATGCTGCATCTTGAGAACCTGTAACCGAACCCACCCGCAGCAGTAGTTGACGAGACTCAAACACCTCAACTCTGTGCCTCGACAAACTTGGCAAGTTTGCGTCCCTGCCAGGTATCGAGGTGAACAAGCACGAAGTGTGCTCAAAGGGTAATTACTCGTTCAAATTTTGACTTTCAGGCGGTTTAGCGAAAGTGTATCAATGTGTGTTTGATTGCACAAGGGCGAAACTGAAGCCCAATAGTTGAGACTCGTTTCCTTTCAACTTGCCCTAACAAAAAAAACGATGTGGGCTGTTAGCGCAAAAACGCAGGCACGAAAACCCCCCTTGCAACATGGCAAAGAGGCAGGTGTGAGTCCCCTGCCAAATGACGGGGCTCAAACCTGACACCTCTGCCAGGTTGCATAGTCCTTGGGAACTCCTGCGCAAGCACGAGGTAGACGATTATGAATTTTCGCAAAAACATTTCGTTTATCTTTTTCCTCGTCAACCAATCGTAATCTGCCGCTCCACCTACTTCAACAGTACCAATATGCAACCTGCCGGACGGGCTTTAAGTGCATGCTAGGCGAGCCGAGCCGAGCCAGGCATGTTTGGTGCCCGGCTCGACTCGAGCCTAGCCAGGCTCGACGGGGAGCCGGCTCGGCTCGACCCCTGGACGAGCCGAGCCGAGCCAAGCTCGGCTCATGCCAATGTCTACGCCCAGTAGCATGCGTTCGTGCAAAGCGAAACGCCAAACCGAGGTGCTACCGAAGCGCATTTTCAAATTGGAATTCCATCCAATTCGTCCCCTCCCCCTCACGCAACCAACTCCAAACCCAACCTGCAACACCAGATACAAATGCAAAGGGCAAATCGAGAGGTAAAGTTTTCAGTTTTACCACCAGAAATCACCACCTTAGCTTCGCCCAGCATACTTGCCGGCAATTTTGGCCCTCCGTTTCCAGTCCCTCGCCTGCGCACGTTCTAACATCAGCTTACGTTGACTTTAGATTGCATTTTTCAGCCATGCCGCTCACCCCGTCGGCGTTGTGGGTTCATGTGAACCAAACCTGAGATGACCAAGGCAAGGTCATCCGGTCGGAGTGCAACTACTGCAACATGAATATTTCTGGAAGCACCACTCGCATCCAGGAGCACCTTTATGGCACCCCGGCGTGCAAGTTCAAGTACATTGCTGAGTGCAAGAGCGAGTATGCTATGAATCTCCGTGCTAAGGGTCTCACCCCGAATACCACTACCGTCATGATCCGCGGTACGACGTCCACGGATCCTGCTCCGACCGCTAAGCGCAGCCGAAATCGCGACATCCAAGGGATGGTCGACAAGGCCGGCCGCGACGCGTTGGATCTCCTTTGGGCCATGGCCGTCGTCGAAAACGATTGGGCCTTCAGAGTTTCTCAGTAAGTAGGCCCCGAAATCGTGCCATCCCATGCATCTTCACACATCTTCTCCCGCCCCGGCATACTGTTCTATCTCGGATTGCTCTTGCGAGCGCGGTGTTCAACTAATTACACCTCCCTCCTCGCTCCCCTCAACTAGGTCACCCGCCTTGCAATCCTTTGTCGAGGGGGTTGTCGCTTACGGGAAGCCCTACACGCTGCCAAGTGTGTACAAAGTCTCCCACCCTCTCCTTGCCAAGCTGAAAACCGACACGGAGGCCCTCATGCAACGATCAAGGACTCTTGGGCCTCGAGCGGATGCTCGATCTCCGTGGACAGGTGGTCGGACATGAAGAATCGTGGGCTCGTTTGCATCATCGTTATGAATGGCACCGCATCCGTGGTCGTCGCCGTGGTAGACACGGCGACGAACAAGAAGACGGGCACCTACCTTGCGTCGCTGATCCGGCCGGCGATCGTGGAGGTGGGGGATAATAGCGTTGTCCAAGTGGTGATGGACAACGCTAGCAATAACAAGAAGGCGGCCGACGAGCTCTGTGAAGGGTACCCCTCCGTTTTTTTCACTAATTGCGCCGCGCATTGCTTGGATTTGATGCTTCAAGATATCGGGTCCATTGGGGTGGTTAGGAAGGTGTTGCTTTAGGCTCACCGTGTGGTAATGTTGGTGAAGAACAGCTCCACCGCCGTTAATCTCTTTCGGGAGGTTTTCAGCGAGCTTGAGCTCGTGCGACCGGGAACCACCAGATTCGGGACTCAAGTGATCATGGTGTCGTGGTTCTTGGAGGTGAAGCGACAATTGCGCAACATGGTAATTAGCGAAGAGTGGGGGGAGGTGCCGGTTGCGAAAACAGAGGAGGGGCGGCGAATCCGCCGCCTCCTCCTTGACGATGCCTTTTGGGGCTCGGTGGGGTTGGTGCTGAAACTCATGACCGCGGTGTACGAAGTGCTCCGGGCGGTAGACACGCGGGCTCACCTCATGGGAAGGATCTACGGCTTGATGCTCAACGCCACGATGAAGACCAACGAGGCGGCCGAGTGGGCGGGTAAGTCCCCATGTTCCACATGCATGGTGCTTGACTCACCTCATTGCTTGTGTACAAGATCCCACTCCCCCCATATTGTACCCCACACTCACCTCATTGCTTGCGCACCTCATTGCTTGCGCACCTCATTGCTTGTGCAGCCACATACTTCGTGAAGAAGACCGGGCTGCTCTTGGCCAAGGACAAGGCTTCCTTCCTGGCCAAGGTGCGCCGGATTATTTCCCAGCGTTGGGACAGTCAGCTGCATAACCCTTTGCATGCGGCTAGTTGGCTCCTCAACCCCGTCAACCGCTTTGCCGAGGAGGTTAGGGCCGATTCGGAGATTGTGAACGGGATGGAGAGGGTGCTTGAGGTGCGGGAGACGAACATTCAGCGCCGCACTCTCCTCCAAGCCCAACTCGCCCACTACCATAGTGGGAACGGGAGTTTGGGAGGCAAGGAGGCGCGGTGGACCGCCACCGCTTTGGTGGAGAGCGGGAGGCTCTCTGAGGCGGAGTGGTGGTCCACCTACGGGGGGGAGGTGAGGGCGCTTCAGGAAATGGCCGTTAGGATCCTCTCCCAACCGTGCACGTCGTCCGAGGCGGAGCGGGCGTGGTCGGCTTTCAACCGGGTGCAGCGACGCGATCACAACCGGCTGAATTCTGACACCATGATCGATGTCACGGTGGTGGCGTTCAGCCGGCGATCGCGGGCCGCTTTTAATCGCAAACAGGCAGCCCAGGAGCGTCTCTATGCCAACCTCGGGTCGAGCGTGTTGGGGGAGGGGAGCATTTCTCCTTCCCTCACTGCCATTGCCTCCTCTCAAGCGGAGGAAGGGGAGGGGGGTTAGGAGGAGGAGGTGCAGGAGGAGGAGGAGGGTGCTAGAGCCTGCACCATTGATTGGGCCACCTTTGGAAGCATCGGTGCTCCTAAGAAGCGCAAGACTAAGGAGAACAAGGGGAAGGGGGGAAAGAAGGTTTGCGGGGCAAAGAAGGGGACTGGGAAAGGCAAAGAGGTGGAGGAGGAGGAGGCGGCAAAGGCAACAAGTGATTGCAGCAGCGAGGAGGAGGAAGATGGCCTCGGGCCATGGGATTTCAGTGCGGGGGGGGGGTGAGGGTGGGTGGGTGCGCGAGGGGCAGGGGGAAGGGGGAGGAGAGGAAGAAGAGGAGGAGGAGGAGGAGGAGGAGGTTGACGAGGAGGAGTGAGGAACAAGGAGTGAGGAGGAGGAGTGAGGAGGAGCTGGCCGCAATAGGCAAGGGGTGGAGAAGGTGCTAGAGGAGGGAGTAGAAGGAGGAGGAGTTGGTGCCCAAGCTTCGGTGGCGTCTACTATTTCTTTCCACACCCACCTTGCAAATCACGAAGCCACCAGCAGTCGTTGCTAGCTGTCGGATGTTTTCAACAAAAAAAAGAAAAAAGAAAAAAAAAGAGAGGAAAATCCCGTCTATTAAAGAAACGGCGTTTTTTTCAACCTTGCTCTGCCCCTTGCCTCCCTTCCTCTTCCATCCCTTCCCGTCCCTTCCCTTCCCTTCCCTTCCCTCCTTTTTTTCCCTTCCCAAACTCTTCCCTTCCCCTATGTTTCCTAAGCCCGAACTTCAAGTCAACCCCACTGCATGAAATCAGCATCCCTCTGGGGCGCTAAGCACTTCTCCTCCCAAATCTAAACCCCGAAACCTAAGCTGTACCCCATGCCATGAACCCAGATTCCCCTTGCACGAGGTCAGAGGCCCTCTGGGTTGATACGTGCCCTTCTTTCCCCTCCATGCGCCTGTCTTCCCGAGCACACTTCTCAAGCCACGAGTCGAGCCCTTATCCCCCTCTCCTTAGAATGCAACTCTTGAACCCGTATCTGCCATTGCAGTAGATCATCGGGCCTCTTGATTGTTAAGTGTGCCTCTCTTTCCTCCCCTGCATGTGTTTACGGTTATCCCAACCCTAATCCCCACCCTCAAGTTGAACTGCGCCCCATGAGCTCCTATCTCCCCTCGGAAGAGATCAGCAGCCCTTTGGGTCGCTACGTGCACCTCGTTCCAGTGTGTGAGGAGTCTATTTTTGAGGCGCCTCAAAAATAGACCTCTTTCCACTGTGTGCATCTCCTCTTGAACAAAACCTCATTCGAGACCCCTGTTTAATAATAAAACATGAGTCTCCCTTGTCCCCCTCACAGGAGATCAGCGGCCCGCTGGGTCGCTACGTGCGCCTCTTCCCCCGCCGCCACCAGCTGCACCCTTCGAGCGGCAGCTGGTGGAGCTCACCCTGGGAGAGGGGGTCTATGAGGAGGTGAGTGGGACCAGCAGCTCTCACCTACAGGTGTGCGTGGGCAGGCAGGCCCCACCAGCTGCACGCCTTTAATTGGCAGCTGGTAGAGCTCACCCTGGGAGAAGGGGTGTATGAGGATGTGAGAGGGAAGGGGTGTATGAGGATGTGAGAGGGAAGGGGTTTATGAGGATGTGAGAGGGAAGGGGTGTATGAGGTGACAAAGGCAAGGGGGCTGTGAGGCGCCTTGCTGTTTTGGAGTAAGTGAGAGTACAAGCTCTGCTCCGTGTCTGGTGGAACTCGTTTTAAGGGAGTGTTCTTCATATAAAGGCTAGAAACGGCTGGTTGGAGGAGATTCAATGGGGAGGCACGCACCAAGGGTTGGGCTTCCAGCAGAGTTTTGGCGCTTTCTTTCTGACCAGTTTGGAAATTTGTCATGAACTGTGTGAAAGGGATGCGCATATTCTCACATACCCCTTCAACCGCGATGAAGGCATTTGCATTGCCCTTTGGGCAGGACACGTCTGAACGTCGTTCTTAGTCTGAGACTCGAACGCACATGTGCATGTTGTCTCCACCCTAACTAGCTCCGAGTAACCCTTCCCTATCTGTGCCCCTGGCTCCCTTGGCCTTCCGCCGCTCCATTCCAATTTCCAATGCTGATTTTCTTTCTCTCCTGGTGCTTTCCACCTCGCTCCTCACATCTCCCTTGCCTGGCAGGTGCTGGCTCGAGTGGACGCCCTTCGGAAGAAGGTGCTGGACGTGGGGAAGAATGCCGCCAGCCTCGTCAACAAGGTGCGCTGTGATGTGCAGCTAGCCTTGGTATTCGTAGCCTGCATGTCTGCAGCCCTGCATAACCCTAGCCCTGCATAGCTGTAGCCCTCCATGTGTGAATGAGGGTGCTGGACGTTGAGAAGACTGCCGCCAGCCTCGTCAGCAAGGTGCACCGAGCTGTAGCCTGCGTATGTGTAGCGTGCACATGTCGGCTCACAGTTCTAGTGTATGTGTGTGTGGAAGATGGTGCTGGACGTTGGGGAGAATGCCGAGAGCTAAACAAGGTGCGCGGAGACGTGCTGCCAGCCTTGATAACTGTAGCCTGCAGATCTGTAGCTCTTTTACCTGAGCACCCCTGTAGCTGTCTTTTCATCGGCAACAAGCTGGCAAATGCCTCTGCTGGCTCCGTCCTCCGTCCTCGCGTTCCCTGCCTCCACCATTTTTCGTTTTGAGGCGCCTCAGAACCATCTTCCTCCACCATTTTCGTTTTGAGGCGCCTCAAAACTAACTTCCTCCACCGTTTTCGTTTTGAGGCGCCTCAAAACTAACTTCCTCCACCATTTTCCTCCTTCCTCTCTCTCGGCCCCATCTTCCAGGTCCTATCACAGGCACTTCCTCCGCCCCCTTCTTATCACATGTCTTTCTGCCTCCTCTCTTTCCCTCATCACCTTCGTTCGTTCCTGCCCCTTTTCCCGTTGCTTGTGCTGTGCGATTGGCTTGATGTTGCCCTACTTCTCAACCAAAATCCGTACCGCCTGCAGACGAGCACAATGAAGGAAGCCGAGGAAGTCACGGCGCAGGTACACATGGTCCCAGCTGTTTTTCTATCCGGCCAGGGCATAGGTGGGTGTATTCGCAGCACTAATGGAATCAGGTCATGGCAGGTCATGGCAGGTCATGGCAGGTCATGGCAGGTCATGGCAGGTCATGGCAGGTCATGGCAGGTCATGGCAGGTCATGGCAGGTCATGGCACAGCACAGGGTACTTTTATGGTACTCTTGTATCACCTTGAACCACATGTGTACTTGAAGCTAGCACCTTGAAACACATGTGTACTTGAAGCTAGCACCTTGAACCACATGTGTACTTGAAGCTAGCACCTTGAACCACATGTGTACTTGAAGCTAGCACCTTGAAACACATGTGCTCCAAGTACTTGACGGTTAGCTTGGTATCCAAGTGTCGTTTTCCTTCTTTACTGCTTTAATTTTCCTCCTATATCTTTACCGCTCTACTTTTCCTCCTGTACATTTGCTGCTCTTCGTTTCCACCCTATACCTTTACCGCTTTACGCTCAAGTTTCGTCTCTTCCCAGCACCTCTCACTCGGCTCTCAGGCCATCTGAATGATCTGCAACAGCCACGTGGTACCACTGCCACGTGGTGGAGAGAGTAAGAAATGTAACCCTCCTTCGCTTCCCTGCTCCCACTCACCACTCTCTTCCCTCCTCAGGGCATCTCGCAGCTGGAGGATCCGCACCACCGCTACAGCCACGTGGTGGAGAGGCTCAAAGAGGTTCCCCTCCTTCTCTGCCCTGCTCCCACTCACCACTCTCTTCTCGCCCCTCGCCTCTCACTACCCATTTTTGTCTCTCAGGGCATCTCTCAGTTGGGGGATCTGTACACGCGCAACAGCCATGCGGTGGAGCGACTCAAAGAGATCACCAAGGTGCGGGCTGCGGGGGAAGGATGGAGTCCCTTCGCAGCAATTTCCCTACTGGCAAACAGCTGGAGTGGTCTATCTGGGGAATCCTCTTCCAACTCCATCTGTTCGGCAGTTGGGGAACTGCTGGGAGTTCTTAACCAGTGATTTGGGAGCGGCTGTCTCGTGTGCTGCCAGTCTCAAGCACCTGGATGCATCCATTGGCCCATTCAGCCGTCCATGCCACTCATTCTTGGAACTTGAAAGCCATATTCTCCTCCATGTTTCTGCTCTGTGTGCATGGCATGCCTTGCTGCATGCCTCTGCGTGCTCCCCTCGATGCCCGCCTGCCATCACCTCTTCAGCATGTTCCTTTCTCCCTTGGAGTTAGAGAGAGTTAGTTTCAAGTCCCTTCACAGACTCAGAGGCATACCGGTGGTCCGCCCAGACCTCCCAATTCTGTGTCTCGTGGGGGCTCTTACTGTGGGCAAGTCCTCCCTGTGTCTGTTCATCCCTCTGTGCCTCTTGTGCCTCTTGTGCCTGCTGTGCGTGCTGTGCGTGCTGTGCGTGCTGTGCGTGCTGGGCGTGCTGGGCGTGCTGGGCGTGCTGGGCGTGCTGGGCGTGCTGGGCGTGCTGTGCGTGCTGGGCGTGCTGGGCGTGCTGGGCGTGCTGGGCGTGCTGGGCGTGCTGGGCGTGCTGGGCGTGCTGTGCGTGCTGGGCGTGCTGGGCGTGCTGTGCGTGCTGTGCGTGCTGGGCGTGCTGTGCGTGCTGGGCGTGCTGTGTGTGCTGTGCCTGCTGTGCCTGCTGGGCGTGCTGTGCTGCGCCCCTGCTTTCAGAGGCTCAGAGGCATACCAGTGGTGCGCCCAGACCTGCCCACGCTGTGTTTGGTTGGAGCTCCCAACGTGGGCAAGTCGTCTCTCGTGCGCGCCATATCGTCAGGCAAGCCAGAGGTGCGTGTGCGGAGAGCGTATGGGCGTGCACAGAGAGGCAGGGTCCCACACGAGTGCATGCAATAATGGGTGCGTACAGGCGCCCATTGTGGGCTGCTCTGTTCTCGAGCGCCAGTATCACCAGGCAAGCCAGAGGTGCGTCAGAGGAGTAGTTTGGGGCGACTTTGGCTCGTGCGCTCCAGGAATGCCGAATGCGCCTCAAAGCTTGATGTAGGTTTTATCATTTTCAAACGCCTCAAAGCTTGACTGCCCCATGATAAGTGCAGATGCTGTTGCCCACGCTTGCTCACGGAACGAAGCTTGCGAAGCATACCCTGAATGGCGGTGTGTCACACCTGTGTCACATGAGTGTTACATGTGTGCAGGTGTGCAACTACCCGTTCACCACGCGTGGCATCTTGTGTCGTGCTATAATACATGCACTCTAAGTGTGGGTTGTATACACACACATGCCACGTGTGTGCAGGTGTGCAACTACCCGTTCACCACTCGTGGCATCAGCATGGGGCACTTCTATGTTGACACGAGGAAGCACCAGGTGAGCTGCATGATATGGTGCAACACACTCCTTACGCCGTGACCCATTTTGTGACCATGTACACAGCTGCAAGGTTCATGTTTCGTGGTGCATGTTGCATATGCCTTCGGCAAGTATGAATGTTGACGCAAGGAGCACCAGATGCGTTGTGCAGGGTGGTCGATGGTTGCATTGTGGTTGGTACATGTGGATGCATGATCAGCATCGGAGCATCGGAAACATGATGCATGTTGCATGGTGCATGATGCATGTCGCATGTCACATGTCGCTGTCGCATGATGCATGTTGCATGATCCATGTTACATGTTCATGTCGCATGATGCATGTTGAATGATGCATGTCGCATGATGCATGTACATGTCGCATGATGCAAGTCGCATGATGTCGCATGTCGCATGATGCAAGTCGATGCATGTCGCATGATGCATGTCGCACGATGCATGTCAATGATGCATGCACGATGCATGATGCATGTCGCATGATGCATGTTGCACGATGCATGATGCATGTCGCATGATGCATGTCGCATGATGCATGTTGCATGATGCATGTGTAGTGCTGTTATCTAGCACCGGCAAGTGCTTGGATGATCTCGCCGTCCTGCCGAGGTCACGACCTTTGCCTTACTGCTGCCTCTTGGGTTTTTGGTTCGCTCTGCTCTTCCCTCCCACCGCCTCCAGGTCACCGACACACCAGGCCTGCTCTCCCGCCCTGATGGTACAGCCCCTCATTCCCCCAGTGCTCTCACTCTGCCTAGAGTCTACTTTGATGCATTCC